GGCAGTATATAGAATACGACGTCAGGGTTATCGCCAGCAGAGTTAATGTTTGCAAGAAAAATATACTCTGTGTTCGACAGGCTCTTGCCTAGTCCAGTGAAGAAAACTGCTAAAAAAGAAAACCAGATAACTAAAGCATATAAGCCAGATGACAGTTTTTTTCAAGAACTTTAGGGCTGGAAAAATGTATTGGGAAGAAGGAATGATAACAAAAAGAATTGGACAGATCATATATGACATGAAAGGATAAAAATTTTGGTGCAAAAGACATTGGAATCAATTGAGACCCAGACACACTACAGAGGTCACGGAAAATACCGAAGAGAAGTCCTGTATGATGCATTTGAAATTCCCGTTCCAGTAAGGCAACATTTGCCAATGGAGGTATTCCCGACCTCAAAGCCAGAGGTACCAGTGTGTCAAACGCCACCACTGCAAGGAGGATTGAGGTGAAAAAGACTTAGGAAAAAAATCAATCAATTAAGTCCAGACTCTAAAAAGAGAAAGTATTGAAGCTAAATTTCATGGGAAAATTTAGGGGGAGGTAATGTAATGAATATGCATACACCTGGTTCCCCCCTCACACAGTAATATGGTGTCAGCCATAAATACAGACTGATGTGGAGGCTTATGAATGACACCTATTTGCTACGCCTATAGTCTTTGCCTACCACTACGACGAGGGCCAGTCCATTACGGTTACCTGCTAGATTGTCCTACTCGGTTACAGTAGTCCAAAACCACTTTGCTACTTCAAACAAATATATCCCTTTCCGGGACATATCATATAGTTTATTTGAATCTCATTTAATTGTGATCTTTTTTTTTCCTTTTTAAAGTTCAATAAAGCTCATACACCAATCTAGATTTGTAAAACTTGATAAAAAAACGCTATTCCTGAAATCGTAAACTTTCAGAAAAAAAAAATACCTGAATGATTTTCTTCTATTTTAGTAGCAGATAATAATTTTTCTTTGCACATGTTCATAATAGTTTTTAAGAACTTGCTGTTGAAAAATTAAAATACACTTGCCTATAATGTAAAGAGTTCCTTAAAATTAACCCAATCATCACAATAAAAAAAAAACTTATCCAAATTTTTATTGATAAAAGCTCAAAAAAGATACACCAAATGTCATCAAGATTCTAACCTTGAACCAGTTGTTAAACTAATCTTGTTTTTGAGCCAACTGCTCTTTAAAGTCAAATTTCACTAGTAATTGCATCATGTTTTTAGTTAGTACAGCTTTATTACTTTTAAATGTTTTGTCTGTCAATTGAAATAGATTGCTTGTAAATAAATTGTGTATTTAGGTTGTATTTAATTAAAACACCTATTAACTTATTAATTGATGGGGAAAGTAAAATTGATTTTCAGCAGTAAACATGTAAACAGTTTGAAATAGATAAAATTATAGATGCCTGTTGATCCATGTTATGTCTGTATATACAATGAGTAAAGGAAAAAAATTCAAAGTTTATATTGACAGAATGGAATATTAAAGATTTGACAGCAAATAAAAAGTGAAATTCTTAATGTAGGTTATTTTTATTTAGATTTAAATTTGTTTTTGAAGCATTAAATCTAACCTGTAAAAAGTAATTCTTAAAAGATTCTTTTTTTCTATTAAAATATAAACAAAGGTTTAAAAGTAATATTAAAATGTTTAGGATCCATTGGATTATAGAGACTATGGATCTGCATTTTTATTTTATTTATTTATTTTTTTTTTTTTTTGTGGTTGGCATCTAAACCAGCTCCACAACTAGCTTTTCTGATAGTGAGAAGGGTGACATGCCACCCTCCTCACCAGCAGAAGGACCAGTTGTAGTGCTGGTATAGGTGCCAACCACTCATCCATGTGGCAGGTTGTACTGGGTTAGATGTAACCAGTAGCTGGCCTAAGCCTGACCTGACTACTAAAGTGTTTAATTCCAACAGATGTAAAAACTTTAAATCAGTCTTTTATTTTATTTTTTTTTTTTTTTTTTATTGCGCTGATTGGGTTAATTTTAAGGAACTCTTTACATCATAGGCAAGTGTATCTTTCCAAGTCAGAGGAAGAAAGAGTTCTTTTTTGTATAATATTAGTCTTCTATGTGTCATGTCCTTTCAGGACGTGGACGATCATGGCTCTCCACAACTTCCTGTCCCTTGTTGCACTTAGTAAATTTGTTTTTTTTTGTTATCTCTCCTAAATCCTGTTCTACCAACCATTTATACAAGCTCATTGGATAGATTATTTGCTATTTTCCTGCCTTAAATATGTCTTAAGAGTGTCAAATTCTCCACACTCTCTTTCCTCATTACATGCCCAGGAAATTTCACTTGTCTCTTTCTAAGTGTAAATGTTGTTTTTGTTTCCATTTTCCTTAAAACTTCCTCATTAGTCAAATGTTCAGTTCATGGTATTCTCAGCATCCTTCTGTAGAATCACATTTTTCTTGCCTGAATTTCTCTTTTTTTATCTGTGAGGAAATTGCCTAGCACTCACTGCCATATAAGAGGACTGTTATTACATAACAATTCAGCACTCTTTTTTCCTTTGAAATTTTCCTGTTTCTTACTACATTACTTAGCTTTTTAGAATTCCAATGAATTTTTGAATTTCAATGTTGCATTTTCCATCCACTGTTAAAACACAACCTATATATATATATATTGACTCTTAAATATATGCCTTAATAAATGCAAACTTATTATATAACTTCTTTGCCTGATATATAATGGCATATTATATGTTGTTATAATAATAATAATAAAAAGGGTATTAGCAAAGCTTCATGTTAAATTTTTTTTATAATTTCTGAAAGGGCATTATATCATGGCTGTGCCGAAATTACTATGCTAAGGGAGATCATTTTTATTACTAAGGGGGAGATAATTTTGAGACCAGTTGATTTAAATTTTGCCTCTAAATTCATTTAAAAAATAAACTGGACAATTTTTTTAAGATACTTCTTATATGGTTAGAGGATATTAAATTACAGATTAATTTTAAATTTATGCAGTCAAGACTTATGCATTGAAATTTTAGTTGCTTTTAGAAATAAAAAATGATCCTTGTAATTATGCTTTGTCATTTTTGTAAATTTGTTTTTGCAGTAAACATAGTGGCATTGAATCTGATTTTACATTAAATCCTCTGCAAGTATATAAATATATTAATGTTAAACAAGACAATTTGAAAATCTACTTGAAAAGGTGTTCTGTTTCTTTGTGTTGAAGATGAATTGCAAGATTTAAATGTAGACTACACGTTGCATGTAATAAATTCCCCAGTAAAAATAAATATTTAGGGGAAAATATCTAACCCATTGCTCTGAATCCTCTGCACAAGTGGCAGACATAGGATGGTGTTTATTGGAGTTTTCTCTAAGCTTTTCTTTGTAGACTCAGAACAATCCAGATATGTTATGAATGTCACTGGAGGCATATTTAATATTGTGTTGTTATTTTTATTAATATTCATGTTCTTGTATTTTTTTTCCCTCACAGTAACCAAATATACTCAATTTGTTTTGTATAGCCTTAATATTTAGTTTTAATTCTCTCTTTCAAAGTAGTCTCTTTGGTCATGTAAGCAGGATGCTACTCACAAAGAGTAATAATAAAAGTCCATATTACATTGGATTTCCATGTACTATTCAAATTTTCTGACTTTTGGCAAGCAGTTTACATTTCACTTTTAAATTTCATCCTGGAAACAATTTCTGAAAGTATTTTTTTTTTTTTTAAAAATTATATAAAAAATTTCAAAGTATATGTTAATGTAAATAAAGATGCTTATCCCTTCTATTCAAAAATTTTATTCTGGTTTGAAAACTAATCTTGATTGATTGTAATTTTAATTCATGTTGTGATTGGCATTTAAGTGCATTTATTATTTCATCTCAAAAACAATAATGAAAGACATTAGTAAATTCTCAAAATATTTAAAATGTAGTTACATTGTGTTAGTAAGTCATTTATATTATTGTCCTCTAAATCATATTGTAGAATTTACTTAAAATTTTAATTTATTGATTAAAAAATATTACTATTTTTAAAATGATGAATAGTCCAAATAAAAATTTCATTGGGATATAAAAACAATAGAATGAGATTTCTAATTCTTACTATTTCTCAACTTTCCTGTTTTCTGTTATTACCATTTCTCTTGTTTATAAATTGATATATGTTTATGCAACTTATGATATTAAAAGTAGAATTTATTAAAAAAAAAATTCATAACAGTTTTATTTAACTTTAATGGTGATATAAATAATCACACAGTATATACTAAAAGAATATGTAGGAAGTAAGAAAATGTTCAAATTTCCAAAATATATTTGGTGTGAATATATATTTTACAAATTGATCATTTAATACTTCTCTATATTCTACTTGGAAGCTTCCTAATTAACTTCAGAATTATACTGAGAAAGAAGAGAAGTACAATTTTTAGCAATTTATTCAGACTCATACTTTTGTATTGGCCTGTTTTTGTTTATGAATGCTTTAGTACCACATTTTCATCACATACCTTTTGTATAAAGATTTATTAATACTTGAAACTATTTAAAAATGTTCTTTAAATGGAAAAAAAATTTTAAGACAAAATATTGTACTTAGTGGTTTATTTGGATGAGCATCCTCACTTTTATTGTGTCTTTCTCAAGTGGGTATTGCATTTGGTAATTATCAGGTTAAGAATTAAAAAATTAGTTAATAAAACCAATATAAACCTGGCATAAAAGGTAGATTTATTAAAATCTTGTGATAAAATCAACAAAGATGAAAATACTAATTTAAATTGTAAAAGTCAAACATATTTAACTAGAAATTTCTTATGATATTTTTGTGTCATAAATTTTGCTTTATTTTTTGTTCATTCACTTCAAAAAGGAATTAACTTATTTATTGCAGTATCAGTGTTCTCTACCAGTCAATTCTCTTTTTCACCATGAACTGTTTTGGTTTTGTTAAAAATGAATAATACTATTTGCTTCCTTTTTAGTGTGTGGAGGTGGTGGAGGCATTACCAGTTCTGACAGTCAAACTCAGGAAGTCCTACTTCATCAGTTGCAAGCCCAGCCCAATGGGGAGCAACCAATTGCAACACCTGTGGCTGCCATCACAGTGTCCAGAGATGTCACAGCCACCTCTTCCTCACTGGCTACTATGTCTAATGAGGCTACTACACATAACCCCAACTCCACTATTTCTCGGGCCATTCCAGTCGAAGGAGATACCACCATTGCCAAAGAAGCACCTGTCACTACAACAACAACACCTGCTGTGTCAGAGGTTTCTGGTCGACGTAACATCCGACAGGCACTACGTCCTAAACGATGTAAATATGAATTCTATAATTGTAACTATATTTTTCATTCTTTTTATTACACAATTTTTTTTTTATTGTTCTAAAAATTTTTACTTATAGTTAGATATTTTATATTTCTAAATTTCATTTAAACTGTTTTATTAGTGTTCACTTCATAAAATTGTAAAATATAAAAATATGAATTTTATTGGTGACAATTAAAAATAACATTCAAATTTGATTGCAAAATAATTATGTTAAAAAACTACATACAGCAAAATATATTCTTGTTTTGTCATTTTCTGTGCTGCTATATATTTACACTATTTCTATTAAGGTAGTTTATCTAAAACATAAAATTACCTTCATTCTTGTATACTTTATACATTGATAATATAATACATTGACATTATAAATTTTCTTAGTCATCCTCTTATTTCATTGTGATGAATTCTGATTTGATCAGTAATTCTCATTTTTACCTGATTATTTGCTTGGAATTATAGCTTCATCTAAGAAGACGTAAATTTTATCCTTTGTTGAGGTTTTGTATTGATAGGCACTGAGTTGCAATTTATTAGTTACTATTTTTTTCCCCATTAAGTTTTTGTTAGAGATTCATAAAATATAATTATAATGATTAAAGATTTTAAATAGCTGATGAAAAATATAAAAAAATTCTATGTAAAATGTATTAAGTTTTGAAATGTTGATCTCTAAAGAGATCTGTATAAGAACTGATATATGTAATAGCAAAGGATGTAACTCTGAAAACATGCCTGAAGATAATCAATATTTCATTAACAAATTAGATTTGAAGTTTATTTGCATCAGTGGGTAATATGAATAAAGAGAAATATTAACAAAAATAAACCACACCTCATGTTTGTTAACAAATATTGATTACCTATTACCAATTTTTTTCTTCAGTGTTACACATAGCTGATGTTTTTTTTAAATAGTCTGGACAAAGTTGTTTGAATGAAGAGAATATATAATTTGCAATATACTCAATTCCCTTGAAATTTTACTGATTGCTTTTTGTTCAGGATTTTAAATATTCTATTCTAATGTAATTTTCTTTGCCTTTCTCTTAAAATTTAGATCTTCCAGGCAGAAAAAGAAATGAAGTAAAAAGTAAGTCTATGAAATTTATTATTTTTGAAATCAAAAGATACAATAAATTTTACAAAAATAGTTTTGCAATAGTTGAAGGAAATGCTATTATTAGAAATAACTCTTGGACAGCTAGTGTAGTTTTTATAAGCTAGTTTTCACTTGACTTACAGAATACCCTAATTTTTTTTGCTCTATACTAGACTAGCTAATGTTAGTAAATATATATTATGTATGTTACTTTTTTAAATGTTGAAATTGATATTTTTAATAATGCTTTTGGGTTTCAAATTTCACTTTCATTTTCAATTTTGAAATTGATAATTTTAATGATGCTTCTTGGTTTTAAATATTTTTTAAATTTTCATGAAGTTGATAAAGAGTGACTAAAATAGATCAAATATTCAAATATATTTTTGTTAACAGATGCATTTTTTTAAATTTTTGCAATATTTTTTAATTTAATTGTTGAAGAAAAAACAAAATTCACCTTAATTTATAAATAAGTAGGTATTGTATAAGTTATTTTTTATTGCATGCATAATATTAAGTCATAATTTTAGTAAACTTGTGTTTTTATTAATTTTCTTTTTTTTTTTTAAATCACTGAAGTGTGTTATTAATTACTCATTAAAAGGTAAATATCACATTAATTTATGTGCTTGTGTTCTTCATGGTGAGGGTGTGTGGGTGGTGTAATGGACAGTGGCATGGTATGAGAACATGTAGAATTGAGTTCAATTTCTGGTTGGGTTCATTACATTCATTTATGTGCAAAATACTCTTGTGAAAGGTTTGAATCTATCTCTTCTCTTAGCTATGGCTTTAGTAGAACTTGTATATGGAAAAATCATTGTTATTCTCAAAACATTGTTAATGTATTATCATTCACTTGCAAAAAAAGAATTATTCTTACAATCCAAAATGTTTTGGCTTTAAGTAACCCACAAAGGGTTGATAAGTCGTAAAAAAACAAATCAATCAATCTTCACAATGATGTAGGATTTTTGTGTATATGATCGGCTATTAATTTATATTATTGGTATAATTTTTATTTATTTTTTTAATAAATAAGCTTTGAAAATAAAATAGCAGTAAATTATACTTTATTACTAATTACAAGGAGGTGCTGAAAAGTTTCCAGGCAGCCTATAAAACTCTGCTAAAATAAATTCTGATGTTTGATCATTTGGTCAGCTTTTGGGAAATTTTAGCAACCTGTTCATACATTTGAATCTTGTATACATAGACAAAATTTTACTTTTTCTTGTTACAGCTCACTGACTTTACTGCTACTCTACAAGTCCTTGGCTTAATTTATTTTCTACTCGGACAAATTTCTGGTGGTAGAGAATCAAATGGATAATCAAACTTCAAATGTTTGCAGTTTTAGCCTAAAATTTATTTCAGAAAGTTTAAGCATTCAATCTGTATGTTGTGTATTGAAAAATCAGAGGAAGAGGGATTATCACTGGTCAGGAATTAAGACAAGCAATATTGACAAACAAGGACATATATTTTTGTTAATATTTGAAAAAAATAAATTTGTAAAACACACAGACATGTTTGCTTAATGTCTTTAGTGTATCTTTCTGCTTTCAGATGAGAAACTTGATAAATATCCTGACAAGGTCAATTGCAGTAGTGGTGCTGGACATCGTAGTGGTACGTCATTAGCAACAACATTATTACCTTCATCATCTGCATCAGCAAACCATCTTAATGCATTAGCAGATGGCAGGACATCTGCTGCCACTACCACTGCTGCTTCTGCTGCAGCCACCACTGCTGGGAGTAGCCACCGGCATGCTACACGTGCTTCCCTTGTTGGGGGTGGTCACTCCTTGCAGGGTGTGTTGCGGCCACAACAAACCATGCGGGAGATTCTAGCAAGTGTTCCTGGTGTTAGTAAAAAGGTAGGCAATATTATATCAATATTTGTTAAATATGAGAGAAATCAATTCAACTAATGTTTTTATTTTGAAATGTATAATTTTGATTTTCTTATATTTCATACCAAACATATGTGTGTGAGTGCGTGATTATTTAGTCATTTTATTGTTTCTTACTTTTTATGACGTAAAGTTGTTAATTTAGTTATGGAATATAAGAAACAAGAAGTTGACTAGATAATCATATCAAAAAAGCACTGTTCTGTACAGAGAACTTTCATCTCTTTTACTCTGTTTGTACTTTTTGTGTAATATCAGTCATATTTATTTTTATATATAATATAATATATATATATATATATATATATAAAGCTAATATTGTGTATGATGGTATGATGTCTGAATCCTTTGATGTCATGAACTGCAACAAGCAAGGGTGTGTCATGCCACCTGTTCTTTTTGCACTTTTTTTCTTGGTGATGTTGAAATATGCATTTGCAGACACAGAGAGCAGCGTTAGGAGGTTTCAGTTTCGAACAACTGGTGGATTATTCAATCATCAGTGCTTCAAAGCCAAGACTTAACTTCGTACCCAAATTATCCATGAATTGCTGTTTACTGATGATGTTGCTTTTGTTGCAACATCCTTTGAGGAGGCTCACCATTTACTAAATCATTTCTCTGCTGCATGTAAAGCCTTTGGTATTACACTTAGCATAAAGAAAACTGAAACCTTGTCCTATTCCGAAGCAATTCCATAGTGTGAAACAAAAACCAGAGAGACCGTTGAAAGTAGAAGAAAAAGCCCTGAATTATGCAAAGTCATTCACCTATCTTGGTAGCAAAGTCAATTATAATGGATCTTTAGATGATGAAATCATGCATCAGATTGCTAAGGCTACCAGTGCTTTTGGCAGACTTAGCCATCACTTGTGGGATGAGCAGGGTATCCGACTAGATAATAGGTTTATAATCGGATGTAGGTGTGTCAAATACAGAGACAGAGTCGGGAGTATGCTAACCTCAATAGGTGTTAACAAACGAAGAAAAAGATTTTGCTCAGTTAATCATGTTTTTATAACTTTTGACTGTCCGCTGTGGTCGTACTTAATCGGCAACCAGTCCGTCCATTATCGTGAATGGGGAAGTTGGGTTATATCATCAACACACCCCCCCTGGCTGAAAATTCTCCCTTTTGAAAATTTCTGCTTCTAATGTCGTCTTCTTTTTGGATCCGGGCTAAAACGCTCCACTGGTTTTCTTTCCCGTGTGCTCCTTCTTTTAGTCGTCACAATTAGATCCTTTTTTGGCGAAGATAATTTCCGCTTTTCAGCCCGTAAGGCTGGTCCATGAGATACAGGTTCATATACACTATTGGGTAGTGTCATGTTAAAAGCATCGCATAACACTTCCATCGGAATTTCTTCTTCGCTTTTTTCACTTTCTTCACCATATCGTGGTCTAATCTGATTGATGTGTCTTTTACACGTAAATTTTTTACTTTTAATCGTGTAGACCACTTTACCAATCCTTTTCTGGATTATGCCATCCATCCAATAGCTTTTTCCACTTTTAAAATTTAAAAAAAAAACTTTGTCTCCTGAAGTGTATTTTTTTGTTGACTTTTTTCTCTTTCTTAGCAACTTTTTTGTTTTGATAGGGTAACAATCTATCGAAAATTGATCTAATTTTCCTTGCGAACATAATTTCCGCCGGTGACATTTTGGCATCGTTATTCTCATTAGGAGTTACCCTATAGATTGCTAAGAACTTCCGAAATGTTCTTTCTTCCGTGTCCATACCTTTATTTTTTTACGTAAAGCACGTTTAAAAGTGTCAACAAATTTCTCGGCTTGACCGTTCGACCTGGGATGACACACTGGTGTAGTTATGTGTTCAATGTCTAAGGCAGTACAGAAATCCTTAAACTCCATACTTGTGAACGCCGTACCATTGTCGCTAACCAATGTCCTGGGAACCCCGAAACGACTGAAAATTTCATCCAATGCACTGATGGTGTTCCTAGATGTAGGATGCTTGCACTTGACAACCTCAGGCCATTTCATCAAAGAGTCCACCAATATCAAATAATAGTGCCCATTAATTGGTCCAGCATAATCTATATGTAGACGTGCCCACGGCAACTCCGTTTTCGGCCAAGGATTCATTTTGACCGGAGGTGCCCTTGCAGCCAATTGACAACATCTACATAGTCTTACAAAACCTTCAATATCCTTGTCCATTCCTGGCCAGTATACATAACCATGCATGAGTGATTTCATCCGAGACATTCCAGGATGACCGGTATGAACTTTTTTTCAGCATATCTGTACGTAGAGATTGAGGTATAACAATTCTATCTGCGTACATCAACGTGTTGTCGCAAATTGAAAAAGGTGAAATCTGAGTTCCCTTTTTCTGTCTTTTGTTCCATCTCGTCTGGTTCCTTAATTTCACAATATAGTGATCTTTTTCCGCTTCTTTTTTTATTTGGTCCAAAGTTACCGGCAATTCCCTGATTGTATTCAACAAGAGACCTGATATTTCTTTTTCCTCAGTTAATGCTGCTATAACCGTCTCTTCTAAAATTTCTTCATTTTTTGGAATCAGCCTTGACAATCCATCCGCATGCCCATGTTCTTTAGATTTGACGTATTCCATCCTAAAATGGTAATTAAGCAGGGTTACACCCCATCGCTGTAAGCGATTAGCTGTATGCGTAGGAATGCCTTTTTTACCTCCAAATATTGTAAGTAACGGTTTATGGTCCGTTTGAAGTACAAATGATCTACCATGTAAAAAGCGATGGTATTTTTTAACCCCGAACACAATCGACAAAGCCTCTTTCTCGATCTGGCTATAATTTTTTTTCAGCCGGAAGAAGAGTCCTCGACGCGTGCGCGATCGGTTTAGTAGTGCCATCTTCATATTTGTGTAGCAGTGCAGCACCCACTCCGTACAAACTTGCATCAGTTGCCAGAATGATCTCTTTCTCAGGATCATAATGTGCTAAGGTGAGATCTGCGAGCAGGCATTTTTTTATTTTCTGAAAAGCCGTCTCGCAATCTTTTGACCAAAACCATTTCTTGTCTTTTTTCAACAATTCGTTAAGGGGGGCTCTTAAATCATACATTTTAGGTATGTAGATTGCATAATATTGTGCCAACCCCAGAAACGATTGTAGTTTCGCAACTGTGTGTCGGGTGCAGGCATGTTCTTAATTGCATCGACTCTCTGTGGGTCCGGTTTCCTGCCTTCACTGTCTATCACCTGTCCGAGGTATGTAATTCTTTCCATGAAGAATTTACACTTCTCGTGGCTTAATTTAAAGCCAAAATCTTCTAGTCTTTTGAATATCGCTCTGATGTGCGTTTTATGTTCTTGAACATTCTTACTTTTGACTAGAATGTCATCTAAATAGGCGGTACCAAACTCAAGGCCTGCCAGCATAGTGTCCATCACCTGTTGGAACAAAGCTGGGGCGACCTTTAAGCCGAAAGGAAGCCTATTTAGCTTATAAATACCTTTATGTGTATTTATACACAAATATTTTGAGCATTCGTCACTCACTTTAATCTGCAAGTATGCGTCAGACAGGTCGATTTTTGAAAAAATCTTACCACCATTCAACTTTGAAAAAATATCTTCTGGTGAAGGTAGTGGATAACTGTGATTTTTAAGGCAATTATTTAACCCTGTTGAAAAATCTGCGCACACTCTTATTTTTCCGTTTTTCTTCTTAACATAAACTGTGGGCGAGGCCCAATCCGCATGGTCAACCTTAGATATCACTCCCATTTTTTCAAGCCTTTCCAATTCCTTATTAATTGTGTCTAAGGAGGAAAAAGGAACGTTTCTCTTAGGTTTAAAAATTGGTTTCACATTTTCCTTGAGTTCAAATTTGACTTCCGTCTTAGTACATAAACCCAATCCCTCAGAAAAAACTCTGGGATATTCTTTTTTAATTCATTCATGAATTTTTCATTTTAATACTTTTTTTTTTTTTCTGCACTGTTTATTACGTTGCAAAATGAGTTAATCGGGAGTTCAAACAAATCAAAGAGTACTATCCAGTCTACTCCAAAAGACATGAATTAATCCCTTGGATTACATACACTTTCGTTTTTTTGCAGTCTTGCCACATAACGAAATATCGCACTTTAATTCTCCCTTAAAGTTTAATTTCTTTCCTGAAACCCCTCTAGCGGTTTTTTTTTTGTTTCAGATAATTTGGGTCTTCCAATATTTTTCCATGTTTGTTCATCAATGATGCTTATGTCTGAACCAGAATCCAATAGGAAAGTAATTGTATGATTATTTATACGTACATCTACGTACTTTCTATTTTTACCGTTCTGAATTTCTTTTTTCTGATAATACCAGGCTTACATCTTGTAATTTCCTTTTCTTGCGGCAAACCGAATATTTATGCCCTTTATTTCCGCACGATTGACATTGAATTTTATTTTTGTACCAACACACGTCTTTGGTATGATTTTTATTTCCGCACGATTGGCAGAATTTATTTTTGTACCAACACGTGTTTTGGTATGGTTATTTTTTTTCCACACGTCTCACATTTTTCTATCTTTTTTTTCTATTTTTGGAGTTTTTTGAGTTTTTTACGTGTCGAACATTAGCAACACTTTTTTCCTCAATTTGTGTATTATCCCTTTTTACGTTTATGAGACGTTGGCATTCTTCGGTCACCCTTTGTAATGTTATTTTCGAGTCTTGCTCGACCATTATTAATATTCTCGACCTAATTTCTTTATATTTAGGATCAGTTAGTCCTTGAAGAAAAAAATTAGGCACTTGAATACATCTTTGGGAATTTCTTCTAACTTGAATTGTTCAACCAGAGAGTTCACTGTTCCCGCGTATGTCAGAAAATCCTCGTTATCTGCTTTAACGATGTTTAGGCATCTGTATCGCGTGTGGAACAGACTATTCCTTTCGTCAAATATTTTTGACAGAATACTTATAGTTTCTTCAAACGAAACTTCTTCTGGCTTTCTGGGCAATATCAAGTTTGAGTACTTCGTATTCTCGTTTGTCCCTAGTTTCTGGACTAATAATGTTACTCGTTCCTCATCCGACCAATGTTGACATCTCTTGGTAAATATAGTTTCGAAACGTTTAAAGTATGCTGGAAATGTAATGCCCGAATCAGGTTCATATATAAATTCGGATAATGAATTTGCTATTCCTTCGGCAGAAAAAAAAAGCATTTTTTTCTTTCTCCAGTCGCCTGTTTCAGAATTTTTTTTTTAGACTTTTTTTTGTTGCAGTATTTGTTGTTGTAACTCTTGATGCTATTGTTGTTGCTGTTGTTGTAACTCTTGATGCTGCTGTTGTTGTTGCTGCTGCACAGCATTTTAGTCATTTCGACTAATTGCTCCATCCTGACTTTATTTAGAATTCGGCAAAAAAAAAAAAAAAAAAAAATTTTTTTTTTTTTTAGACAATTAACAGACAATTTACAGCCGTAATATTTTTACAACCCGTAATTTTTACTTGAATAATCAATTATTAGACCGGCTCGCATTTGAGTCGCGGTTCAATATATATTTTTCAAATCACAATTTAACAGTAAAAATTTTCTTACTTTTCAAAAAGTTTCCTTTTGACTTGTGACTCCGCTTTCGAAATCCTAATCGGCGTCAACTGATATCTTTGACTTGCGAATCTGCTTCCGAAATCCGTTCAGCGTAATCTGATATATATATACATTTTTTTTTTTTTTTCAAGTAAGTACGTTGCACAATCCTCGTCGCCAGCTGTTATATCTCGTGCAAGATATAATAAACAAAGTAACCCGAGTGTTGGTTTTCAATAATAGGTTTATAATCGGATGTAGGTGTGTCAAGTACAGAGACAGAGTCGGGAGTATGCTAACCTCAATAGGTGTTAACAAACGAAGACTTTTTTTTTGTACTGTCCGCTGTGGTCGTACTTAATCGGCAACCAGTCCGTCCATTATCGTTGTAAATTCATAAATTTGAATGTAAGTTGGACTTCTTTTTGCATAAAAAAAGCAATCAATTTATTTAATCGACAAAGTGTTGTTAGGATCATCCACAAAAAATTTAAAATGTCATGAAAATTTTTTAAATTTTATTTAACTCAACGAAAACTTCATTATTTTAATGTTTTCAAACAACTGAGTTAAAAAATTCTTTTTTTTTGAGTTTCAATAGATTTTCGTATTTTTTTCAACTTATGAGAAAAATTTTTTTTAGGATAGTCAAATAAGTTTTGACTTTTTAAAATTTTTTTTAGTAGCTTGGAAGTGGATAATGATTTAAATTAGACTAACATCTGATTGACTGATTGAAAACAGTCATTTTTATACATTCATAAAACATTCAGTTTTAATCAAATACAATTGATCTTTCTGTAGTTGTTGGTATGTAAATCTGTCTTGTTTATTCCCTTCTAATTTATAGGATTTGATAAACAAACACACATTCCAGCTATTACCAGCAGATTACCAATATCGGTTGATACAGCTTTTACCAGAATGTGACCGGCTGGTTGAAGGATCAAGGTACTTTTTTTTTCATATAGCAAGCATTTTCTTCTACAGCTATAGTTGTTCACAATTCTCTAGGCTTTTAATATGGGAATGCAAAAAAATGAAATTCTGTAAATTATTCTTTTCTAATTTGATAAGTTATATAAATTATGTTCTTGTCTTAATGACTGCCATTTTGAAAAGAAGCTCTTTATTAAGGATTATTTGTAGGCTATATTTTAAAAATATGTTATTCTAAAAAGAAAAACAATCTTGACTGTTTTGAAAATGCATATTAAATATGGGGTTAAGTAAAAAATAACTGGCCTCTCCTAATTTTTTGAGTTGTATACTATATCTTTCAAATTAGAAGGATTTCAATAACATCAAGTTTTTCAGAATTAGGTTTATTGATGACCATCTTTTTCTAAATAAAATTTTAAAATTGATATTCTTTTCTTTTGTTCACTTAGGATAAGTGCAGCTGCACTGAACAATGAATTCTTTTCCAAAGCCTGTCAAGAATGGAAAGAACGACTGGCAGAAGGTAAGTGTTTATCTTTATATATTGCCAGGCCCTGCCATTTATTATAAGAACTGAGTGAAATTAATTCTCTTAATTAAAAATTCCTGCATAAGAATTGAATTCTAAGTGTCTAGCCAGTGTGTGACTTAGCTATAAACAATGCTACAGTGCCATATTATAACTGTATGAAGTTAATATGTTTAAACTGAGGATTGTATTCTATACATATTTGAAAATTAATTTGCTGATATCATTAATTACTTTTACCATTATGCAATTTTCACATGCAAATGTAACAGTCAACTTCTTTTCATGTCTCTAGTTGCCTGAAGATTGAACTCTTACGGATGTTTGTATTATTTTCTGTGTTCTAATTCCTTTGTTTCTTCTTGAGGGCAGCTTATTCAGAAAAGTAAGGTAGATAAAAATACTCAAATTGATGTGGTTGGCCTTTGTTATCTGATGATCACATCACTTCAGATGACTAATCACAGTAGGAGAATCTATAAACATTTTGTCAACTACAGATTTTCTTTTATGATTTTGCAAGATATAGTAAGAAAATATGTTTATTTCAAAAGTAATTCTCTTTTTATTATGTCTATTTTAGACAACCTCTGTTTTGCCCTTCTTCAAATGCTAATCAGCAATATTGCTTTTTCTCAAACACATAGTGACTCCTGTCAAGATATGATTCAGTTTTACAATACTTAGTTTGTGCTCACAGGCTAAATGGAATGTCAAATTTTTCAAGAAAATATTGTTTTGCTTATTTTAGAATTTTAAGCAAAGGCCATAAATCTTTATGATTTCTGAACCTCTCTTACTAACAACCTTTTCTCTAAATCCTCAATTCAATCACAGATGGGCATTTAATACTGGGTCAGCGAATCTTATTATTTAGCTGTTTTTTTTTTTTTTTTTTTTTTTTGTCCCCTGATGGTCTCACTAATTTTATTGGTTGACCTGATTCTAGAATATGTACAAATGTCTTAAGTATTCTTTTAAATCAGAAATGTACCATCTGGTGTTATTCTTTTCCAGTTTTTATCCAATCCAATTTTGGCTCTTAATCTTGTTATTATTTCTGTTATATTGACATTGATACTCTCTCTGAACTGGGGAGTTTTGCCATAGTAATTTTTTGTCATCATCTTTTTCTATTGCAAACATAAATCCTAGCTACTCTAAAAGGTTAATAATGGCTTTTGTTATATCCCACAAATAACTGGAACTTTCACTGACATAAATAATACTTTCAAAAGGTATATAATAATCTATATATAATAAAAGCATCGTTATAAATCATAACTTTTGTTTTTTGTAAGTCATTTTTATTTGGTTGAATAAATATGCTAAATAAATTGTTTCAATTTAATCACACAGTATAAAATATAAATCAAGGAAAGTAATTGAATACAGCAAGGAAATGCTGTAGGTGAAGAATAGAAGGAACAGACACCAGTATGATTGATTATGGAAAATTAATCAAATATTTATCTTATTACTTTCTTTTGTTAAAGAACAAAACAACATACATTAAATGTATATGACTTTGTTAAATTGTTTTTTAGTTTTGTTATTCTGTGCAGAATTTCAACAGGAATAAAACCAGAAGTTATTCTGTTCTTCCATTTAATATGTTGATTCTGTCTGTAAATTGTTAAATTTAAAAGGCAATCAAAAACCTTAATACGTTTTAAGGAAAAAATACCAATGTTATAAAAGAGCTTTTAATTATTTATGAAAAATTCAATTGTATTAATTCATGATGCCCTTATAATATATTTTACAACCAATAAAAACACTTGATTTCTTCATTTTCTTTAAAAAAAACATTTTTTCTTTAAAGGCAGACATTAAGATTGGACATATCCTTTCGCCAAGTGACCAAAGATCAGGAAAAACCATTTTCAACAGTATAATATTTTTTCTTTAACTAGTAAATAAATGATATTTTCTGATTTTAAAAAAAAAAAATTTTTAAGGCATTTATTATTTATGAACATTTCCTGCTAAGATTTTTTTTTTAAATCAGAAAATTTGAAAAGAAACAGAAACATTGAGCTGGGATTTATTTAATAGCATTTGTTAAATATTTAATAAATGTCAAACTAAACATATTATTATGGTGTCTAGGTCAGACTTAATAAAATTGCTAGCTGTTTTATTTTGATTATTTTATCATAGAAATCTAATAATAATCAGGTAACCCGGAAATTTACTATTCATATGCCTGATAATTCCAGTAATCAGTTTCTTCTTTAGATTCTTCCTTCTAATTACATAATTACACTTTCTACATCAAGAAATATTTGAATGAATTTGATTTTTGAATATATTTTCAGCTTACTTTTTATTGGTAAATATAAGGAATATTGTTTATATTTAATATAGAACATTAAATGTAAGGATATCTTTTGATTAGTGATTTTTCCCCCCTGATACTTGCAGGAGAATTCACTCCTGAGAACCAGCAACGTTTGAAGCAAGAAGAAGAAAAGGAACAAACTAAAATGGATCCTTGGAAGGTGAGGCTCTCTTTCATGTATTATCAGAGCTTGATTAAATTATTGTTGAGATCGTAGTTGGTCAAGACTTTTGCAAACGAAACTGCCATTACTGTTTTATTTATCACTTCAGTTATTTAATGCAAATATTTGTGTGAAAAGAATGAACTACTCCCTAAAAATAAGCATAACTTTTGTAGTGATATATAAGATCTTGATTTTACTAATCTCAAAAAAATGAATTTGTAGTTTTGTAAAAATTCAGAGCCACTGTAGATAGGATTAAAATGTGTAATATTTCCTATTAAATTTTTATAAGATAAAAAGATAATAATATTGCACAAATTTCTAAATATTTTTTAAAATGTCACGAAATTACATAAAATAGATTAGATATGAAAAATATACTTAAACAAGTTACAAAATAAGAAATCACAATTACTGTTTGAATTTTTGCAATGAGTTATTTTCATTATTTGCATTTGGGCTAATGTCTTCATTTTTGTTGTTTTTATCATCATTATTATAAATTCTTTGAAGATTACCTCGATTGACAAATATCTGAAGAAGGCAGCCAAAACGTGATAATAACAAAGAGGAGGATGTTAGTTCAAATGTAAATAAGAAATCACAAATCCTTTGTGTGGAGATAAATGTTTCAATGTAAAAAATACTAAAACAAGATGTTAATATTATTACAATGCTATTTAAAGTGGCATGGAATATCATTCAAAGTTTTTAATTTATAATGTTCCTTAGGATACCTTATCAAAAACCTTTTACTTCTACAAGACATTTTTTTCAGAGGCTATTACCACACATTTTCGAGATCCAGATCAATATTTTTTTTCATTTTATTTAATAATTATCAATGATGTTGTTATTTATTTTATTTTTTTGTTGCTAACAATTTTTAAAAAAATTTTACTATATTTTTATTTTTAAAATAGATGAAACACTTTGAGCAAGTGTGGGGACAGAGGTAAGTTGTATTGTATTTTTGTTCTTTGATGTGGTGCTCTCCTTGAATTATTTCCACTTTTAACTTCATAGTTACTTTTTCTGTTCTGGATTTTTCAATGAAGTAATGAATATTATGAAAACTGGGTAATCAGTTTTGTGCAAACTTTGAAAAGTAGGATGCATTTACTTTAAGACCTTAAGAACTATGTAATAAGTTTGGTTTGTAATGATGATAAAACTTTGAAATCAAACCATTGTAACAAAGAAATTTTTTTTCTTTATTTGATTCAAAGAAAAGTTATAACAAAAATAGTATAATTGTCTAATATATCAGTTTGTGAAGCCATGTTTACAGTTAGTAAGAGTATTTACATTATATTTCAAAGGAATGTGAGATTTTAGATTTTATGGATTCTTATGATATTAAGGTATTATTGCACAATGTATATTATGATATTAATGCTATGAAGAAGACAATGAAACTGATGAATTCTATAAAATGAACAACCAAGTATCAATTAAACAATCACATGAGAAAATATTAATATTATAACACTGAATTTTTCATATTCTCTCATAATAAGGAATTTATTTTTTTATTTTTTAAATTGGGTTTAAGAATTAGAGCAGAAAGTACTCATAATTGTAATTTAAAATCTTTTAATGAGTTGATTTTATTTCTTAATTTTGGAACAGAAATTTGAGTAACATGAAATTCCTTCTGCTCTTCTGATAAATTTTGTTGCCACAAATTTTTGGATTCTCTGTCAAAATCTCTGAAATAACAGCCCATGAAATCTGTAGATTTTCTTTCACTGTCAATTATTGATTTCCTTTGAATGCTGTCTGCATATATTCAAAACTTCTGTGTCTTCTACCCAATGAAGGCCTTTCAGAACATTATACATTTTCAATGGATTTTCTGCTTAGTTTGAAGTGTTTAGTATTGCTCATTAAATCCTCTCTGAAGATCTTAATCATTCACACAGTTTCTGTGGATGAATGTCCAATTTCCAAGCAAATTCCATGATGCATATTCACTGAGTACACAAGATCACTTTGTAGCATATCTGACTGCTGACTGAGTAAATTCATAGGAGATTTAACATATGCACAAAAAGGTTATAATCTCTGATTGGTTGCCAATCACATATTGAAGTTGCACAACTGGTTCTTAAGATATTTAGATTTAACTGCAAGCCGGAAGTAGACATTTTATTATTTAATAGAAAATTGACATATCTAAAAGATAATTTTAATGTTTTAATGGTTTTAAGAAAGTGCTTCAGTGTTATGCATCACATTAAACTATTCTTTCAAATGTACAGCTTAAAACTAATACCAAAAGATAAATCAGCACAGTACTAAATTAAATGAAGGAATAATTTATTCTGAGTATTCAGAACAAATTGTATTTAATCAAAACAAGAAGTCTTGCTTATAAGGTGCATTATTTAAATTTATGAATAAATATCAAAGCGCATGATAAAAAAAAAAAGTCTAAAATGTTGTTTAACTTGAAATTATTTTACTCAATAATCTTTTCTTAGTGTAAATTTTAAATGTCAACTGTCTATATGTGCACACACACATACACACACATATTACAAAATGAATGCTTATTTTGCATTTATCTTTTTGTGATAATAGTAACATACAAAAGATGATCATAACTTTAAAATGAGTTTAGCAATAATTAAATCTTTCACCCCAAAAATTTTGATGTAATAATAACACGTTTTTTTTTGTTTTGTTTCAGAACGTTCACAGATATTCCAAAGGCTACCGGTTCCTCACCAATATCTCGTCCACGTTCACCGCAAGTTACCTCCCCAATGCGTCGCAAAACCAAACGAGTCTCCACTTTATTCAAGCCGCGATCATTAGCTGTGACTGGCGGTGGCAATGGTAGTAGTAATAGCAGTGGTGGAAGTGCAAAGGCAGCCTCCCCAATGAGCAGTGTACCAACTGCTTCACCCTCTGCTATATCTAGTACAGCAGCAGCAGTAGCTGTGGCAGTAGTTGTCCCATCTACTGCAGCAGTGTCTGCCTCCCCCTCCACTACTGCCTCCACCATCACCACTTCATCCTCTGGCTCAACAGTGGTCACTGGGGCAAATGATGATATTAACTCTCGGGTGGATGGCCAGGTACCCTTACTAGGTACACAAGACATTGCCAGTAACCTGAAGCGCCCACTTTTTGTAGCAACTGATTTTGGTGGAGAGACAGGTGCTTCTGATTTTGAGAGTGTGAGCCCATCAAAACGCCAAAGATATTCCCCTGGACAGAAGTACAGTAATGCGAGGATTCTTGCGCAGACGAAAGGCCAGGCTGAGGTTTCACGGCTGCAAAAGACAGTTCAGGGGAGCCTGAACTCAACCTGGGGAGGCAGCCAGGAGAAACAGACATCTCCCGTCACTGCCTCCAATACTCCCCTGATACATCCGCCTCGCCTCCAGGCTGCTTTGCTACAAGTATCGAAATCTTCACCGCCTGCTGGCCTTTCCAGCAACAATGCTAGTAATAATAGTAGTAGTAGTGGTAGTAGTAGTAGTATTGGTAGTAGTAGTAGTGGTGGTAGCAATCCGGATGGTGGTGGTGGCGGCAACACTGATGCCTGTAAGAACTCCCCACATGCGAGTCAGTCTCGTGTTCTTGCTCAATTGAAAGCACCGACCCAGTCACCTGCTTCTTGTGCTGCCATTGTTGTCAAGTCTCAGGCAAAGTCAAAGTCACACATCCGAAACAGCACTAATTCCAACCAGTCGAAAACCACTATAGCAACTACGCCTACAGAATCAGACTCTGCTTCACCGTCCAACAAATTTCATACAAATGTGTTTGCGTTGGTTGGTAAATCACGCAGTAACAATAACAACAGCAACAACAATAATAACAACAGCAGCAACAACAACACTGTTAGTAGTAGTAACAACAGCATCTACACCTCTAGTAGTAACTCTACAATGACTACCACTTCTCTGTCTACTAGTAACAGCAGTAACAATAGCCCTAATACTATGGGTACAAATCCATGCAGCAGCCCCACAACAAAGTCTGAAAGTACGCCACTCTTAAACAGTCCACAGAAGAACAGTGATACTGTAAATGTGCAGCGGTCACATGAAATTTGTCAGTCAGTGTTTGATCGAAGTCGCAGCACATTAAACAAAGGCACAATGGTGTCTCTACTGCCCAAGGCAGCCAATGTTGCTATCCAAGTGGCCACAAACCAATTTCAACAACATACTTTTGGGGCACCAAGTCTGATCATTGCCCAACCAGGTATGATCAGCCCTGGACAGCAGAAGATCAGCACAACCACTACATCATCGTCATCAACGAGCCCATTAGGGTCAGCCTCAAAGATTTTTTCTCAGTCAGGATCTGTTTCAAATCTGTTTGCTCAGCTGCAGAATACATCTGGAAACAAAACAAACTCTGGACTTTTAGTTATCTGTACAACATCCTCCTCCTCTTCTTCCCCCTCTTCTATTTGCACCTCTTCAGCTTCTTCTTCCTCCTCCTCCTCCTCTATTTCTACAGTATCAAGTGGTGATCCAGCTAAGGATGACAGTGCAATGACCGTAAAAGTTATCAGCACTAGTCCAGAAGTGAACACTTCTGAGAAAAATCCTACAGTTGCTACAACTACTGTTACACCAATTACAATCACAGCCACACCAGCAACTTTGGCTAACACAATTGTATCTGCAACTAGTGTAGCAGGATCAACAACTACCAATCCAGTTGTAACAACATCATCAGCAGTTCTCTTTTTGCTAACTGAAGATACATTAAAATCGTCATCGTTAACAACAACAACAGCAACAACACAGACAACATCTCCTTCAGTTTCTCCAACATTCTCAAAAGCAACACCACCTTTATCATTAACAGCAACTACAGCTACAACAACAACAACAACAACAGACATGACAACAGCATCAGCAGCAACAACATCAACTACATTTACAACTGGGACAACAACAGTGTCTTCTATGTCCTCGGCTTCAACAACTGGGTTTGTGACATCTAGGATACCTGTGTCACCTTCGGTTGTGACCACTACTAATGGCAGTGCCACTGTGGTTGCCTCTCTAGCAACCACTACTACAACTACTACCACCACTATGACAGCAATGATGGACTCCTGCAATGATGAACATGTGGCGAATTTAGTGGTGCCAACAACCACCACCACCCCAATCACCACTACTACACCGACTGCAGCTACTACCACTTTGGTGGAGACATCAACAGCAGCATCTGTAGTGGCTCACACTGCTCACTTTAGCTCTAGCAGTCTGGAAAAAGGTTGGGGAAGGACAGGTAAAAATTCAGAAGTAACTACAGCATCACCACCACCATTACCTCCTGAAGTGGGATCAGTGGTGTTTGTTGCTGATCAGCTGGTGGATTCCAGTTCTCAGACAACAGACACCACTCAACTGACCAATCCAAAGTCTGATGCTAAAAGTGTACCTACCTTGGCATCATCTGCAACGACAACTACAACAACAGCAATTGCAGCAGCAACAACAACATCAAAGAAAGTAGCTATTGCTACTGCCTCTCAATTATCTTCTACTTCATCATCTTCCTCCTCCTCTTCCTACTCCTCATGTGACACTGTCAAGATTGATGGTGGAGTTTTGCACTCTAAAGATGAAGAGAATCACAGTTCCTCTTCTTCCTCCTGCTTGGATGGTCTTGCTTCTGTTCCACCTCCACGATCATCCAGTGCTCCACCGAGTACATTATCCAACAGCAAAAATTCAAAACAGGTTGTTGAAAGCACTGCCACCGACAACAACAACATGGGTCGGTCGGCAAGTGTTGATGACAGCATCAACTCCCTCTACAGCAATAGCCAACAAAAAGAAAGCTCATCGCCGTCAGCATCTGACCATATGCCAGATGATGCTGTTGACGATGCTGCTGACACTGAACACAAACTCAATCTTTCACAAGAAGAGGTAAATTTTTTATCGCGAGCTGGCACTGCTACTGCTCCAGAACAGAAGGAGCCTCCAAGTAACTCAACTTCTGTTTCTACCGACGTACAAAGTAGTTCTCCTTCCCCATTGTCCCACAACACCCTACTACCACCACCACCACCACCTTCATCATCCCTTCCCCTGTCATCCACTACTACACCATCAAACGTCGTGTCTGGCTGCCCCTCTCCCCAAACTCAGCATTCCCCTATGACCCAAATCCTGCAGCCAGACTCAGTAGGCAGTGTCCAGAATATTGCTTTAAATCTAGCTAACAATGTGGAGGCACATATTTCCAGTCTTTTGAGCACACCCGTTTCCATTATTGCCACTACCACACCTGTGCATGTGATTGGGGCTACCAGTGTGGGCAACCCTGTGCATGTGATCCAGTCAACAGTGTTGCCCTCAGTAGTGGCAGCAGCAGCTGCTGCAGCCACTGCAGGTCCTGTGCCCAATGGGGGCTGTGGCATTGCTCAGTCCCCAAATTGTGCTTGTAGCCTTAAGGCTATGGTCATGTGCAAAAAGTGTGGGGCATTCTGTCACGACGACTGTATAGGACCATCAAGACTGTGTGTTACATGTCTCATTACTACGTGACATTGACTGTGTTTTAATTTCAAGGAAAATATGAACGAATGTAAGAAAGAAAGAAAGAAAAAAAATGAAATTAAAACTAAAACATTGAAAAATAGAAAAAAAGCTAAAAATAATTTTAAAAATGCAGAAAGAAAGGAAACAAAATCACAAAATTCTCTAAAAACTACATACAATGAATAGAATTTCTATGATATAAAAAGAAGACAAAAAAGATGTGTAAGTGAAAATTGAATGAATGAAGTGGGTTGGAAGGGGGGATGTTGATGTTTGAAAGAATGAAAATTTAAGTACTTGGTTGCTGTCTGCCTGACTGTTTGGATGAATAACCAAAGGATGATAACCTTGTAAATGATGTTCTCTCTTTCTTCAATCTCTTCTTTATCTCTTGCTCAAATTTTCTGTGAGAAATTTTCACTGTTCTTATTTTTTTCATCTGAAAAATAATTATAAAAAGAGGAAAAAAAACAAAAAAACATGTTAACCATTCTGCCCACAGTCATCATGTCCTCAACTTTGGAATTTATCAAAATTAGTTTTTAAAATGTTTCTTAATTATGGGTTGGTGAGGGGAGTGGGGAGCAAGAAGCTGTTCAAATTTTGAAAGTTTTGTTTCAACAATGTGACTTTCAAAATCTGTTCTGTTCTGTTTTCCTTTTTATTCTTTTTTTATAAAAATATTTATAAGAGGATGAAATAATTTTTGTGAGCCCAAATAAATTCATGTTTATCCCTTATTAAGTTTATCATCCTCTTTGTATTTTCTTTTTGTATGTAAGTTGAAGGTAGCAAATCGGAAATGGAAATCCAAATTTACTTAACCTGACTCGAGCAACAAGGGGAGACAAGTATGCACAGTTTATTCACTATTAAAAATATAAGTGTCCATTGGTACATGTAATCCGCTTTCTGAGATACTCAACATTGTACTTCTAGTACAATGCATATTGGTATGTTTGTATATAGACATTACATACTGTATGGTTAATATTTTATTGTAGGGATTTTCTTGGAGCTTGTCAGATGAAGACATTGTTTAATCTAGTTGGCTTAAAATTGAGTTTATAATATATTTATGATTGAAAGGTTCACATCCCATTCATTGTGGTCAGTTAGATATTTTTCTATATAAGCACATTCATATATATTCATTTTTCAATTAGTTGCTTTATAGATTCTGTAATGGATGCTTGTTACATATTCTCATGAAACCTTAATCAGTTTGGGTTTTATTTATTTTCTTATATTTTAAAACTTTTTTCCTTTAATTACTACTTCTTCTCTTTTATCATTTGTATATTTAAAATATTAAAAAGTACTTGTTGAATTCCTCCTGATATTGAAAGAATGGCTGGATTAGGGTACTGACAACACACGCACATTCATTAAGAATTCCATTTTAGATCATGTATTTTATTTTTAAATTCTGTGTGTGTGTCTGCTTGTATAAAAATTACATGGTAGAAAGAGAGTAACTGTTTTATTTTTTCTCTTTAAATAAAGAAAACAAGGCAATAAATAAATACATCTGCTTCTCTATATAAAAGAAGCATATTCTTGAAATGAGTAATTAGCTATGAATATTGCATTTGCTTAGTTTATTAGATACTGTCTTTATAGTTGCTTATAAAAATGACTATAGTAAATTTTTAGCTCAATCAAGGAAATAAAAGTGTTTGTATTTATTTGCAATAACATATGGACCCTACTCAGCTAAAACACGAGTTCTATTAAATAGAACAAAGATATCTATTAATTTAAATATTTATTTAGTCTATTTATTAAACAGAACTAAGAATATCTATTGAATGTTTTGGCGAGTTTCTCCTGGTGTCAAATAAATCTCATTAATTGGTTTATTTCAGGTGGAAATAGGTTGTATACCAATTTTCTTGGCCTTCACGAGACTGTTAAAAAAAAATAACAAAAGAAAAAACATATACTAGTTTTACCATGGGAAAATTGATCTGTCATATTTTTGAACAAAGTGGAATATGCAAACATATAGCCCAAATCTGTGGCAACCTTGCTAATTTCCATTAGTATATCTGCCACACTGACTGCAAAAAGAAAAAAATATTCATAAATCTTGGAAACCCTTTATATTAAAAGAAAGCAACATACTATTAATGTAGTTTGTTTTAATTTAGGTGCTCACATGTTAAAATGCCTTTGAACTGTAAAGTCATATTTGTCACATGACAGTAAATTCTATTTCAGTCATAACTGGTTATAGTGTTAAGTTGAAATTTTAAACTGATGACAATATACAAGCCATACTGGCTATTTATGAAATTTCAATCTTTCCTTGAAATGGCTACTTACCATTTAATTTCAGCAATGTTTCCACCTAATTCAACACAAGGAGAAACTGGTTAAAATGAAATTAAAAAATTGCTGTCTAAATATATTATGTTAAATATAGGAATAACATACATGAATCCTTTTTTGCTAACGTTTTTTAATAGAAGCAAATGCAAACTATCAGTACTTGATAACTGACATAGATTTCATGACTTTTATTTCATGAAACTCGTAATATTGTATATTTCTTTTCATTTTAATACCAACAAAAATTAAAACCCTTTGCTTGCTTCCTTAATATTTTGAATTCATACCTTAACCAATTAATGCCAACTCTAAAATCTGGTATTATAAATCTTTAAAAAATAATTGGTATGGGTTTCTAAAAACAACAAAAAAATGGTGTGAATTTTCAACATATAATCAATTAATGGCTACCATCCCACTTTTGGAACAGTGGCATTAATAGGTTCATTTCATTTCTTATTTTACACCATTACATTGAAAAAAAAAAAAAAAAAAATTGATAACTGAATAGAAATTGCTTAAAAGAGAAGAAACTTAATTTTTTTTTTTTTTTTTTTTTTTAAGCATTCACAAATAAATATAAAAAAGCTGAATTTTGATTAACAATATATTCTCTACTGATAATTGTTTCCAAGAAGTTCACACTTTCATATTGATCAGTTTCTATAATTACAAACTAGTTTTAACAGATAAATTGGTTAAACAGTATTCATTATTACTTTTCCTTCTAAATAGATACTGGAAGCAATTTGGTATATTTCAATATCACCATTCTATAATCATTAAATTGTAAGCGCCATATTCTCCTTTTTCTATTAAATAATCAAAATATTCTATTTAAAATTATTTGACCTATGAATCTTTAATAATTGGTAAATTTGGGATAGTTCTTACAAGAGGCTTAGGATAGAAATGATATTAATCACTGATATAAAGAGAATATTATTCTTCAGTGTTGGGTGTTGTATTCTAACACACGTCTATCATGTTATTTCATTTTATTTGAAATATTTTAAGCTTGTTAGTATTTGCTTATTTGTTATCCTACTGACATTTTACATAAGTTTTCTCTTTTTTACATATTTTTTCACAGAAGAGATATCAGTGTTGTGATTTTAAAACACAAGGAATTTTTGTAAATAATTTCCTTATTAGGTTGTATAAGATTCCTTTGTGTTTCTGATTCATTTGAACAAATGGAAAATATCAAAATGTACCAGTAAATTATTTGCAATTGACAAATTTTAATGGCTTTAATTGTTGCAATTTATTAAATATTTAATTGAATAAATTTTAAGAAGAAATATTATTTATCTAGCTTTCAAAAGTGTGTATTTACATTTTTGTTTATGTTTATTCGCTGTAGAATAAGCCAAAATATTTGAATAAATAACGTAGGTTAAGCACTAATTTTTTGTAGAGAGTTACTGCATAATTATCTCCCTTGTTGGCTCTATCTTTTCTAATACATTATTAACTTGATTTAAATTTTAACACAAAAGGCCCGTTTTTTGTTAATCTTTCAAAATAATTAAAATAAATCATTTAATATGAAATGGAATATCTCTATATTCTCATGACAATAACATCTCAGAGACGTTATCAGTCATAAAACATATCTTGACTTATCTTGGAAAATAATGGCCTTTACATACTGACAAATAAATATTACTTTTATCTAGCATTTATTTGAAAGTGAAATCTAAAATAATGTTTAGTTGTGTAGTAATCTGTTGTTTGCTTTCTTATTAGTAAAATAGTTATATAAATTAATACATTTTCTTTTTTTTTTTTTTACCTAAAGTAAATTTGAAACATACATTTTCATATTTTTGCTATCCTCTTCTTGCATTTTGACCAGATCTTTTCTTTCCTTATGAAAATCTTGGCAACTAAATTGATTAGCTCAGTACAAAAATGACTAAATCACAGTGTAACATTTTGTGACTTTCCCCTTTTAAGATTTACTGAAATGTTTTAAATAATCAAATGAATTCTGAAAAGAAAATAGTGTGTGTTTAACAACTCTGAGGACATTTTCCTTGTATAAAAGAAAACTGTCAGCATAGACAAAACCTGAGGTTTCATATGTAGCTTTGGTACATTTTGCACTGAGCACTTCAATTTTTAACAGATGTTGTGACTTTACTCTGCCCTCAATTCTGCACAAAATTTTAAGTTGGCCCCTTTTAACCATATTCCCCATCCTGACTTCCATAAAAAGAAGTTCAATTTATTTCAATTTATTACTCCTGTTCACTCACTGAACATCAATCAAAAAGAAGCCATTTGTCTTTTATAGACACATCTAAGGAATCAACAGTCTCTGTTCTATTTTCTCTGTTTAAAATTTTTAAGATTTTTCCTTTATTATTTATATGAGAACAAACGATCATTTGAACGAAACATTTTCGTTGTCGACGTATTTCTTTATTTTTTTGCAGAATGACCCCAGAATGAATTGTCTTCAATTTTTTCTATGTCCATTTGTTACCCTGGTTATTAATACCAATAATCAATAAAGTTTCTAAACCCCCACCCACTTCATTTAACCTAAAATAAACGTCTATATTTAAGCAGGTTTTCCGCTCTTAGCACTTTACGTCTGTATTTGTTTGGGGAATCTGTTTGGGTTTACGGAGTAATTTCCTCTCCTCTCTTTATCTTTCTAT